AATCCTCAGATTCTCCCTTTTTTTCCCCAAAGATAATCCTCACTGTATGTTCATTTTGCAATTCCAATACCAAAAAAAAACCTCAATCATGTGTACCACAGGCTGAATGCAGAGCTTAACTACAGTAGGATTTTTTTTGGGTAGTCAAATACAATAGAAATGAATGCATCTTCTACATTTTCAAGAAAGCAGTGATTTAAAATAGGAAACAATTCCACAAATTAGGAAGTGGCTAATAATATCTTATTGTTGCTAACCATGTAACTTTTTAGATTTAGATTTGAAAACATCTTTCATGGTTGTCATGGTTGTCATTCTGTCAAAATGAGTGTTTAAATTTTTTATGGAGACTCTGCTTATTTTCACAGCCTTTGTCATCCTACTGTGTTAAATAAACACTTCTTGTCCAGCCACTGAAAAAGCTAACATGCCAAGTGATTTGTAGCTTTCCACCTGAACTGTTGCTCATGAAATTGGGATTATATGCCTGCACCGCACACCTGGTAAATGAGCCTCTTCTTAGATTGCCTACTGTGCTTCCAGGACTTCAGCAGCAGTTGAGGCTTCCAAGAGTAGCCTGAGTAACAGGAATGGTTGCATGGCTAACACTTTGTAATACAACTTAGTAGCTTAACTTTTACCTTTACTGAATGAAAATATAAAAATTACCAATTTTTTGCTGTCCATTTCTTGGTCCTTCTTTCATCCCTTTCAGTAGATGTGAATATCTCATTGCAGCTACTCGTACAAATTTAACTTAATCAATTTGGTTACTCACATGTACTAAGAAAAATACCACAATCCTTCTTCCGTAGTTTCTGGTTGAGGCAAACATGCAAGCAAAATATGTAGCAAACGTTGAAAATATCCTGGAAAGAGACAGGACTATTTATTCTCCCCTCATACTGTCATACCAAATGGAAGTGATAAGTCATTTAGATCAGACTGCAAATTAAGTCCCAAGACCTGTCTTGCACTCCAAATAAACACCTATGCCTGTAGATCTTTACTACAAGAAAACTGTTGTCTTCACTAGGCACTTCACAGGCATTACTGTAGAATAATATTTTATTAATATATTATCCAGTGCTGTGATAAAGTAGGATCAATACCAGTGTAGTTCACTGATGAGGGCTTCTCAGTAGAGTAAGCAAGCAACTATTCTCCCCCAAGGTTTTTATTGTATTTATATAAAGACAGTGGTTTTAACTAATTTCAAACAAATTCTTGATGACCTCAGTTTTATTTTGAAGTTCCAAATTCCCCCAGCTAGTTACTGAATCACCAGGGACTTCTCTGCCTTGGAACAAGACTGCGAGTGATGCAGCTGACACCACCACTACGTCCAGCTCAAGGGCAGCCACAATGAACAGCTTATGCAGCCTGTTCCAAACATGGAATGCACTGCCATTAGTATGAGCAGAATGAAGAACTGTTACATTCATTTTGGCTCGTGAGGGTGAAACCGGGCAGGCACAACCTCATGGTTTATGGAAAATAGCTGAGAAGACACTCATTTGTGCTGGTGGAATAAGAAAAGGGGCTTTTAATAGCACAAATTTCTTTTTATAGAAGTATGTAGCAGTAAATAAAAAGGGTCTTTATTGCCTGGTGTTCACAGCTGACACAAAATAGATATTGCCTTTGCACGCATTGATTACAAGTCAGTGGTGACTTCTCTGGGGTGTGCTGTGGAGAGAGGAGTGAATCTGTCTTGTATGCTCTTCCTTAGGGAAAGCAGGATCCTCTTCCATTGCATTAACTCTTGCAAAATGTAAAGGAGCAAAGGACCATAAATGATACTTTTCCAGTGCTGGTGAGGGGGTGCCAGCAAAGGAAACCCAATTGTTTGGTTCATTAAAAATTGGCCTTCTATTTTGAACAGTACCATTGATTTAGATTTTACAATGATGTTTGACTGGTCAGGATGCTCTTTTGTCTTTTCCTGTTGGGTATTTAAACTGGTTCATATTAAATTCTCATTGTCTTTTTTACTCTAAAGCCACTGTAGAAAGTTGAGGGTATATTCTTTAGAGAAAAGCAGTTGCTGTGGTCATATTTAAAATAAATTTTGAATTGAGGAATATTTGAATGTCTTTGGAATGTTTCACATAGCTTTATCTAAAAATAAAAAGTTTTCCTAGTTTCAGTATGTAAATAATGTTTAAGAACTGGTTGCAAACCCCTTAACACATGAATTATGTGATGCCAATATTTATTAATTTGATACTCCAGTCTGGTTTTCTATAGCTACTGGGAACTGCACATGAGACTGTTAGCCAAGACACCCGTTCTAGTCATTCAGAGCTATTCCAAAATCAATCTGAGACTCCTGGATCTCCACCCATCCCACAGCTCTTGGTCACATTTTGCTAAACATTGAGTCTCCTTCCTTGCAGTTGCCAACCATCTGTGTTAGGAGTGAAGCTGTCTCTTATCAGTTTACTCTCCAGTTTTCCCCATGTAAGGCAGGTTGCCCTTTGAGTTTTGGAGCAGAGCTCACTGCTTCCACAGCACATCCCAACCAGGGAACAATAATTCCACATCAGGAATCCAGCTGCTCTCCCAAATGATACTGCACTGTATTACCACAAAGCCACAGGGCTGTTCAAAACACCCACTATCAGCCAACTCCATTCCCATGCTAGAGATCAGAAAACAAGAACACACTTGGCCTTCTCCTCTCTGTGCTTCCAGCAATTCATCTGCCCAGTTAGGCTGGGATCTGTCCACATCTGTTTTGCAGCACTCCTCTTGCTGGCTTAATTGTACATGCTTACTGATATCCGAGACAAACCACAAGGAACCGCTTGCATAAAGCTGGCTAACAAAGAAAGGAGACAAGAAAGAAAAAGAAATAGCAGCATTTAAAAAAAAAAGTAAAATCTATGTTTCTTCATCAAGGAAATAAATTTTCTCTTTGCAGATGTTGCTAATTACACACGGAGGTTTAATTTTTTTTTTTTTACTTAAAAGATCTGCAATCTTCACTCTAAATCTTTGACTTATCCTTAGCAATGACTTTTTTTGGATAAAAGGAAGGATGTCAGTGAGAGCTTGGTTTTGGTGGGACCCAGAACAAACATATTCCCTTTAATAATTCATTCATTCTCTAATAATATCCTTTAGGGAGATTGGCTACTTCCACTGATTGTTTTAGTACTTATTTTAAACAATAGGCTCACCCATTTAACAAATTAGTTTAAACTTCAGAATTCATCACTTGTCAGACATTGTTTGTTGTTCATCTAAAATGTGGGACAATGCTGCTCTATGTTAGAAAAGTCCAGTGCAGAGAAATCTCTGCTCTTTTCATGTGCAGTGCTGCAGCAGTGCCTCAAGGACTTTCCAAAGCCTTCCTGACAGCAAGTCACCACGGACATTTGTTTGGATTCAGTACATAGCTGAGCACATTAAATAACAATAGTATTTATGTCCATCACGACCTTGGTTTCTCTGCAGGAGATATGTCGTTGAGACCTGATCACTTTTCACTAGAGCAGTGTTGATCACAGCTATTGGAAAGGTTCATCCAGGAGATAATAGTTGTCAGAAGTACTGGGGGAAAGGACAGTGTAGAGAAATGGATATGAAAAAGATAACTGGAGGCACTTATTTTAGCTACTGGAAAGGGTATGTTATAGAAAAAAAACACCTCACTTTCCTTTTAAAGTGGGCTATTTACGAAAGAGCAAAATGCGGCTTAAAGTGAACAGAAGGTAAATATAATTCAGAAAGAAATATTACCCTGCACAGCATGTCAGTGACCTGTGCGATCCACCATGGCACCAGGTCAGTCAGCTGCTGTAGGTTCCTTCATAGAGAGGCCAACAATAAAAAAATGTGTTGTCTGTCCGTCCATGTGGTATATCTGACATGTGATGAAAGCAACAATTTCTATCTGCAGTTACCTCTGCCTGACACATAAGGTTTGCTACATGCAAGGGATCATCCAATCTCTCCTGCAAGCTTTAATACAACTTAAAACAGAGACCAGACTCTTTTAGTCACGATTACTTTAATTGGGACTGTACATAACAGGAGTACATCCACTGAGACACACCACGATATCATTCAACCAGCTTGATGTTTTTTGCTGTTATAATTCCTGGCTAATCCAATCATAGATTCATTTAGGTTGGAAAAGACCTTTAAGATCATGGAGTCAAACTGATAGCCTAGCACTGCCAAGTCCACCATTAAACTGTGTCCCTAAATGTCACATCTACATATCTTTTAAATACCTCCAGGTATTTAAGTGATGACTTCACCACTTCCCTGGGCGGCCTGTTCCAGTGCTTGACCACCTTTTCCATAAAGAAATTTTCCTAATATCCAATCTAAACCTCCCCTGGCACAACGTGAGGCCATTTCCTCTTGTCCTGTTGCTTGTTACCTGGGAGAAGAAGCTGACCTCGCCTTGCTACAACCTCCTTTTAGGTAGTTGTAGAGAGCAATAAGTCTCCGTTAAGCCTCATTTCCTCCATTTTAAACAACCCCTGTTTCCTCAGCCTCTCCTCATAGGACTTGTGGTCCAGACTCTTCACCCTTTATTTATGAAGAAGTTGAAGAGCACAGGGCCTAAGACAGAGCCCTGTGGAACCCCATGAGAGACAGGTTGCCAGTCTGATATCACCCCATTCACTATTACCCTCTGTGTTATACTTGTAAGCCAATTGCTCACCCACCACATGATGTGTTTATCCAGCTGTGTGCTGGCTATGGTGTGCTGGACAGTTTGTCCAGAAGGATACTGTGAGAGACATTAATGAAAGTTTTACTGAAAAAAAAATAAATTACATCAACTGGCTTGCCTTGATCCACTAGGTGGGCTACCTTGTCATAAAAGGAAATCAGGTTTCATAAGCAGGACTTTCCTCTCATGAAGCTGTGCTGCCTGTGACCGATGACTGCGTTGTCTTTCAGGTGTTTTTCAATACCTTTCAGAATAATTTTCACCATAACTTTACCAGGCACTGAAGTGAGACTGACAGGTCTAGAGTTTCCAGGGTCCTCCTTCTTGCCCTTCTTGAAAACTGGGACAACATTCATCAGCTTCCAGTCAGCTGGGATCTCTCCAGATTACCAAGACCACTCAAAATCGTCGAGAAAGGTTTTGCAATGACATCAGTTAGCTCTTTGAGGATTCTGAGATGAATTCCATCAGGCCCCATAGATTTGTAGGGATCCAGCTGAAGCAGCCAATCCTGCACAATTTCAGGGTTGGCTGGGAGTTGATAATTCTCGCAGCCATGGTCCTCCAGCTCAGGGCACTGAGACCCCCTTGGTCCAGCATCTGCACTGAAGACAGAGGCAAAGAAAGCATTAAACACCTCTGCCTTATCTCTGTCCCTGTTTGTGAGGTGACCATCCTCATCCTGTAACAGGCTGCTGATATTTCTATACACCTATTGCCATTAATATATTTGAAAAAAATCTTTTTATTGTCCCCTACATTTCTGGCAGCTTCAACTCCAGCAGAGCTTTGGCCACACGAATTTTCTCCCTACAGTGATAAGCAGCATCTATGAATTCTTCCCATGTCACTTGACCTTGCTGCCACTGGGCATACACCTTCCTTTTTTGCCTTATTTCCAAGAGAAGGTCCCTGCTAAGCCAAGCAGGCCTTCTGCTTCACCTGTTTGACTTCCGACCTTTGGGAATTGCTTGTTCAAGCACCTCAATGTCTTTCTTGTAGTGAGGGGCCCAAAACTGAACACAGGATTCTATGTACAGCCTCACCAGTGCCAAGTACAGGGGGATGACCACTGCCCTGATCGTGCTGGCCACACTATTTCTAATACAATCACACAGGGTAGTTACATCCTAAAGCCAGTACCCTTCCTACACACAACACAGAGGTCAAAGAGGAAATTTGGGTCACAAGTAATGTAAACAGGGACACCAGCGCTACCCTTGTTTCTCAGGAGCATGTCAACTACAGTCGAAGCATGTGGACTATGCTGGGAGACCCTCTCCCAGTGGTCCTTTGAAGCAGAGCCTGGAGCAGGGGAGCTGCAGATGTTTACCCACCTGACTGCGCCAGCTATTGTCTTGTGCCTCAAGTTCCTGCAGATTGGCAATTAGGGCAGAAATCTGGAAATCCACAGCACAGTTAGCAGCTTCTGGTCATGGTGGTGATTGGATTAGGGGAAAGAGTGCTGTCTGGAAGGATACAGCACTGGCTGCTCTGGGGATTTAAACTGATCCCCAGCCAAAGGAAAATGAGTGTGGTAGCTGTGGTTTGCTTTCCGTTAACATTATCTTACAGTTTATGTCCTAGAGAAATTGGCATAGCTGGCAAATCCTGGGAGCGAGGCCCAAAACTGATTTAGCATTAAGCCTGAACTTTCTCTCACCCTTTGAAGTCCAAGTTTTCATACTCAGCGTCAACATGAAGGGACAGAGTAATGCAGCAATGCTGCTCTTCCTGCATTTTCTTTTTGTTTTGTGTAAATGTCAGAAATCATGAAACTGAGATTTTTTTTTTTTAAATCTACTAACCTTCCCATGGGAATAGTTATATATTTTAAACATCTTCAGAAAAAAAGAACTCATACCTTAGAAAATCAGACAGAAATTTTCTTAATGTAATTAAATAGATAAAATGAGTTGGATAGAAGTAATTTGGTTTTTAAAGGTGAACTTAATGAGTTGAAAGTAATACTCTGGATTAGAATCTTTTGTTCCAAAATACAACAAAACATAAATCATACAGGGTTTCACATATATGTTCGTGGACAAAAACATAGTAGAGATGTTAAAAAAATCTGTCATTCTGTAATGCAAATCAGATTTTGTCTAATTTTACTTTAGAAGGCTTCGCTTTTCTTTAAACAATAAAGATTAGCTAACAGACCTCCTTGCTCATGTTTATATACAGTTGGAAGAATAATTCAGACATCATTTGATACTGTATCTAGCTGTGCTGAAGCTGTATTCAATCTAATATGTATTGAGTTAACTATACTCATTTTTTGACACGATTAATCCATTCGAATTTTTTTAACAGAGCAAATGGTATAGGAGTAATTAACTTGCAAATGCCTGGTTGGTGAAGTGCAGGGTTTTTTTAAATGTATCTTAACAATACGAGAAATTTTCAAAAGCCACTAATATCCTATTCTCGAAAGCAAAATGGGTGCATAGCATAAATCACTCATAAAAAAAAAAGAATGTTAATCTTTATATTGTTCAAAAGCATTTGAAACCATTCTCCTAATTGCCACTTCAAAATCCTCTACTACCTAATAAAAGAAATTAATAAACTTCAACTCATATCCTTTTTTGTATTATATGGTGCTTTGGAGGTAAGAAAAATTTGGTCTGAACTTCAGTAGGTTGTAAAAGATATATTCACCACTATGCATTAAAAAGCAGCTCAGCAGGAAGAATTACCTATTGAATCAGAAGGATTCTGCCCCTGATTAACACTGAAGGAGTGTTTCTATGTAAGGTGAAGAAGCACTGAATTACTTACTAACACCTTTCAAATGCAGTAAAAGATTTAACTATTCTCCTGAGAGAAGAGGTTGTAAGAGAGGATTGGATGGATGGGAGAATTTGAACTATTAAAGATGGGTCCATCAAGATGTGTTTAGAGTTGCTACAGCCAGCTGACTGCCCTTAATTGCAGCATTCATAAGAGATTTTAGGCTGAAAAATAAATTTCAGAGAGGGTGTAGGACTAGAATTTGGGCTGACAAAAACTGGTGAGCTGCAATTCCTGCAACTGGAGAGAGGCAACATAATCCAGGGTGAGTGGACAGTTGTTTTCAGATTCTATTTCTGTAGTCCTAGGTGGGCAGGGAATATTGGCTTGCAAACCCAAGTTGCTGCAAATCCTGGAAAAGGTTTTGAGCTCTGCTTGGAGCAGTGATTAACAGTGACACTATTCCACTGTCCTCTGCATACAGCAGTTTTAAGAATAGAAGCCTAGAATGCTTGGGGTTGGAAGGGACCTTAAAGGTCATCTAGTTCCAACTCCCTTGACGTGGATAGGGATACCTCCCACTAGACCAGGTTGCTCAAAGCCCTATTCACCTAGCCTTGAACGCTTCCAGGGATGGAGCATCCACAGCTTCTCTGGGCAACCTCTTGCATTGGCTCACCACCCTCATAGAAAGTCTTCTTCATTACAATTTCTTCCTAATACCTAAACCTACTCTCTTCAGTTTACAGCCATCAGCCTTTGTCCTGCAACTACATGGCCTTGTCAAAAGTCCCTCTCCAGCTTTCTTGTAGGCCCCCTTTAGGTCCTGTAAAGCTGCTGTAAGGTCTCTCTGGAGCCTTCTCTCATCCAGACTTAACAACCCCAACTTTCACAGTCTCTCTTCACAGGAGAGGTGTTCCATCCCTCTGATTATCTTTGTGACCCTCCTGTGGACCCACTCTAACAAGTCCACATTCTTCCTATGTTGGAGGCCCCAAAGCTGGATGCAGTACTCAAGAAGACCTTACGGTTAATGAAAGGATCAAGGTTGCTCAATTAATTTAAGTTCTTGCTGAGTCTTCAAAAAGCTGCTGAGGTCCATTTCTAACCAGGAACATTTCTTTCTATTTACATCTTCACATGGCGGGGTCTCCCTGCCATGAGCTACCCTTAGATGAAATGAGCTAGAAAGCTCTGGGATGACCAGAGCTCTCGGGTTTGTTACAGGGCTAAGTGTAAGGAAAGGGTTTTTTGTTGCACTTAGGGACAGTGTTTGCATCCTGCCATCAAAAACACAAATCGAACCTCACTGACCTAATTAGACCAAGAATCTGTCTTTCCTGCTCATGCCAGCCTGAACCCTACCATTAACACTAATCCTGAAATTAAAGCTACACCTAGATCAGCAAAACCTGTCCAATCCTGAACTAAGCACAGCTGGTGATGACATAAAAGACATGTTGATAACACCTAGATCTGGGCAGCAACACTGTCCACATAGCGTCAAATTTTCAGGCTATTTATCTGCACTCAAGTTTGTATCTTGAGTTAGAGAGACTGGCAATGCTCCTGAGTGAATTCACAAACCCCCCAAGATCCTCATAGGCTGAAGTAATTCATGTGATGAGGGGAGAGATAGCATATCTCTCCAGAAGGTATATTATTTGCTCTTTCCACAAGGTATATTATTTGGTCTGTCAGTGTGGAATGAGGTCCATTCTGCACTGCATTCCAGATTCTTTATATTTCTCAAGTGGAAAGCAGCTGGTATAGTCAACTAAAATGTTTCTTAGGTTGATTGGAGCTCCCAGCTGACAGAGAACCAGTGCAGTTGGTTCCCATTCAACTACTCCTTGGGGTATTTGACAATTTTGACAGGCTAATTTAGAATTTTTTTGTTGCAAAATGAAATTTTCATAGATTAGAGTAGCGATATATGTATAAAAAGCTAAATCTCTTCAATTTTAAGCTTTCTTACTCCCAGTGTCCGAGCTGCTGAGAAGTTAGTCTGATACACTATAATCACGAAGAAAAAAGATCTTTTATTATTTAAATATAATATCGATATTAAAAAAACAGAGGGGAGAGGATATATTACACATAAAGATGAAAAGATACTTGAAATCTCACTGTCTTCTTATATGTTCTTCATAATTTAGAAGCATGGCACCATGGTCTCACTAACACCAGTTAGTGCCAAGACAGAGCATGTGTGTTCTTTCCTTATTAGTTTAACAGAATCTGTTAAATAGAAGTAGAAGATCAAAGAATTTCAGAACCAAAAAAAAGAACCCAAAAACTGTCAGCCAAGTCACACAGATCCATTCTATAGAAAATATAAGCAACAAAAAAGAGAGAAAAAAATGTATGCATTAACCCAACAACAGTCAGTTCAGAAAGTCAATTAAGAAAGCTTAATTGGTTGTTTTATTATGGTTTCTTATGCAAGTAACAATTCATACTAAAACTCTTTGATTTGTAAAATTAAATTTGCAACAACTGTATAATTGTAAGTAGCTTTAAGAGTAGATTAGTTTGTAGCCAAATTAAGATAATAACCAAATAAAGGTTATTATCTTAATTTACCAAACAATCCAAATTCATATAAGGGGACACTGTAGATACAGATGTTTGCAGTTGTTAGACTGTGAAATACTGGCTATTAACTTATTGCTTACCGTGTTGAAGACTATACTGTAAATATAAAATGCCATAGGTCATTCCATGATGAATCTTTTCTTCTCTTCACTGAAAAATGGCTGCGGAGAAGATAATTTACATCAAGGGTTGAATCCTTGAGACAGAAGATTCATGACAAGTATTGCAACAGTATTTCATGGGACATGATATCAGCTATCAACTCCAGTGAGTCAATGCAAAGCATCTGTGCAGGACATGAAATTCAGCCTGTGGTCTCCAGCAATTAAACTAAATGTGAATTTGTCCCAATTGCAAATTTTCTCCAACTCTATGTTCTCAAAATAATATATATTTTCTGTTTGGAAAAAAAGTCAAGATTGTGCTCATCCTACCTTACTAGACTGAACAGAATGAACACTCATGCTGAATGAAGAAATCATACAACTGTAATAACCAGTTATTCATGACTATTAATACATTAGGATCATGGCAGTAAATAACTGAAGAGATGTCTCTGTTTGAGAAAAAGATTAATAGACTGAAAGACCAATTACTTTGTCCTAGAACTATAACTTAGTTCACAGAACTGCTAAAAAATAGTTCCTCCTGCAGCAGTATGACCCCCTTTCCTCTCTAAACTCACCTAGCATATTCTTCAAAATTTTATATTTAACTTTTTAGCCTCTATATGACATGGAGCAGAAGGCAATTTATTTCTCATATTCTATTGATAGATTGCCAAATTAGTCCATCTTCTTTAGTTACTAAAGTAAAAGAAAACATATAGAAACATAGGCAAGATTCAAACAACAAAACACTTGGCTAAACTTTTAAATCTGCAGTTTTTTCAAGTAGTTCAATAATGGATTTTTTTCTTTTTTTTTTTTTTTGCTTAATAGTTTACACTGTTATTGTGGAATAGCATGAAACAGACTCTGCACTCCCCTTATTTACAGAAAACCAAAGCTGATTCTGAATGAACCTGACAAAGCAACGTGTGGCTAAGACCAGAGTTGGGACCAAGCATCGAGGCTTCTTTGGATAGAATACACCTTAAGAGAACATCATTTGCAGATGTTCTTTATCCAGTTGGATTCCCTGGCTTTTCACTATCTCTGCTCACATGAGCCAGGGCCAAAACAAACAAGTTGTCTTATTCTCAGCAAAGTGCATTTGTTGGTGCTGTGTGGATGAAAGGCCTCCAAAGCAATGGTTCTCAGCATTCCAGCTGATTAGCTCTTCTAATTGGCTCTGTCTCCTCCCATCCCAGGATCTTCTCACAATAAATATAGTTAGAAAAAGATGCATAAAATTCAGCATAAAGGAAATATCAGGGAGATGATGTGAAAGTAACATTGCTTTTCAAGCTGCATTCCTAGCATAGAAGACCAAGAGTTTATTTCCTCTTGGCAGACATAGAATATAAACAATATTTCTTGGTCATTTTTCTGCCTGGTCGTCTGTTTTTATGTCGTTTAAATCCTGTCCCATCAAGAGTAAGGCTTGATGAAATAAACAAGTTGGACTGTGTTGGTGCTCCTCAAAGCATTTGAACCTCTCAAGGACAGCCTGTTTCACCTTGCTCACATGCCCACTTAAAGAAGACATCTGAATTGGGGTCAGAAAGATAAGTCCTGTCAGGGATTTTTTTTCCTGTAGCATGTATGTATACACTTCTAAAGATCATGCAGAAACTATTGATCAAAGATTGTGTTACCACAGGACCACAAGTCATTTTCAATGTTTCATATTTCTTCTTATGCCAGTTTGTAACTCTTGGCCTTTCTTTACAGGTAGAGGTTCTGTAGAGGTACAAATGGTCTCTATATCCTTTTAGATTTAACATCTATTGCAGTTATCTACAATCACTAAGACCTGAAGTTCTTGACCAATGAAAGTATCTCTACTCCTCTGTCCTTATAAAGGCCCAATGCAAGTCATAGACTCTTGTTTTAGAGGTCTGCAACTGGGAAAAAAGTCAGTGCTTTAGAAAAACTGCTGAGTCTCCAGTATTTGGATTTAAATTATCTGAGATTATTATAAGGTTGCCCAAGTGTAGGATAATGCTTAATACAGCTCTGGAACCCTGATCCACAACAGCTGCATACTAAATTAAAGCTTCTTTAGATATCTGAGGTTTCTTGCCTTTTTCAATGAGATATAAAAGCCTTCCACTTTAGAATAGGCTCAGTTAAAGCAAACACACTTTACTATTAAACAATTGTGAAAAGGCTGAGCCAGTTTATTTGATTCTCTAAAGTCCTTCATGAAAAATAAATGCATGTTCTCAATAAAAGTTTGCAGCCCGGAAAGCTCAATTTCAAATAAAAACTGTAATGAAGTACAGCAAGTATTTATACATAAAAGATCTTCAACTATAAAGCACACATTTTTTAACTTAACGAAAGCAAGATACGTGTTAGATGCAATAGTTCACAAGTCATACAGATGGTTCCTGTGAAACCTAGAACAAACTTACCTATAAGAATCTCCGCAGAGCAATATTATCTGAGATGAAATTTCCATGTTTCTTCCTTTCTAAAGCAATTCCCTTTTAACATATTGTTTTCCAATGCAATTCATCTGTGAATGTAGTTGTCAATTACAGCAAACCTATTAAAACTACTGTTTATTTTGGAAAGCAGTTTTTTTCACAGAACTATTACATATGACTTCGGTATAAGGAGTTAAGAGTTACTATTTTTAATTTCCTGTACCTCTCTTATATTTTTCACTTGGTTATTTGGAAATGTGATATACACAAATATTGAATGACTTGGCATGAAAAGTGAATCAAATTGAATAATATCTAACTTTCAGAAAGACTGAACAGACTCATGGATTTTTTAAATATTACTTCTATGTAGGGTATTTGAAATACGTTTGCAGTTCAGTTCAAATAAGAAAAGTGCAATGACTTGCCTATAAAATCCCTTCCCCACGTCACCGATCTTTTAAATTTTCCTGATTTTCAGCATGCAGACAAGCAGCAAGGATTAAGGAAGGGATATTCAGTCTTTATGAAGCAGAAACAGATATTTAGAATTTTAAGTGTCAGCCCAACGTCACAGAGCTGTTTGCCATACTTACACATTCAGTTCATGCAGCTTGGTAACTGTGAAGTGAGTACTTCTCACAAAAAAAGGGGAGAAAAAAGGATAAATCCTCTCTCTACTTGAGTTTCCAGGATTGGTAGTTGGCATGACAACTGTAAGCAAGTAGTCAAGTCAGGCACTGACTGAGAGTAAGAGGCTGAAAGAAACCAACAGAAATATATAAAAAACAGGAATACAGAGAACTGTTAGGAAAAAAATGATAAAGTGTGGACATCACAGAGCTTTAGAGATGTGGGCACTAGCACAAACAGTGAGCAACTATGTCCCTGCATAGCAGTAGGCAGAGTATCATATAGCTGAGGTGGTGACTAGCTGTTTCTCCAGCAAATAAAAAGATTGTGCTACTCTAGGCAAAACTCCAGCTCTGTTGTGTGCCAACAGAAATAGCTGATGAGGCTGCACAAGGGCAGTTTCATAGTGAACTGTAAGTGGTGATACAAAAAGAGCTTATTAATCTTCCTTTACCATGGAAACAAGTTTAATTTCCACAAAATATATATTTTATCTAAATTAAAGGAAATAATTAAGAAGGGTGTAACAAATAAGACTATGTGACTTTTTTATGGATAACTCGAAATCATGTTAAAAAAAAAAAGAAGAAAAATAAGAAAAAGAAAAAAAAGAAGAAAAAAAAAAGATAAAGGTTAGTAAACAAAAGTATACCTTCATGGATATGGTAGGATAGACTATTCTACATCTTCTTCTGTAAATGTTTTTAGTTTGTTATTGTTATCTCAGTATTTTGACAAAATAAATTCTGTCTCCATATGACAGACAGTTGAGAGTAGAGCACCAACCTTACTTCACAACACTGTACACTTTGCCTTGGATGGGCCTTAGAAACTGTTCTCTTCCTATATAATGGCATCACTGTCATGTGTGAGGAGCCCTTAAGTCAGATTATCCAAGAGCAGAAGTTTTCAGTCACATATTTCCCATATTTCCTCATCCAAGGAAAGTTTTTTATAACGTATTTCAATCAAAATTATGACCTAAAGTTGTTTGCACACATTTACAATCTTAATTCTTGCCTTTTTTCTTTTCCAGAAACTTGGTCATTATTGCCATGTTTGTCAATTAACTAAAGTCTGCCTATTTTTATTCCACTTTTTAAAATACAGGTATTTTAAATACAAACATAACAGTGGGATAACATATATTTTATTCTCTAGCCTACCCGGGCATTTTTCTGATGCCAGAAGCATGCCTTTAAAATAGAAGCAAGGCCAGAGACTCTCACTTTTACTAAGTCAGAGAAGACAAACTGACCCCACTGCCACTGACTTTTTCTACTTGAGATGCCTAAAGCTGAAGGACCACTGTACTGTAGTCCAAGCATCCCACTTCATGTTTATTCCACTAGTGGACTTGACAACTCTGAAATATTTCATTGAGATGGAGAAGTTTGAAAGCTTCTCTCATAAAACATGAAAGGTTACAGCCTTAATCGTCAAGTGGCAAATGTTGGGAGTTCTTAACATTCCTTCCACTTCAGATATTTATTCCCTGAGCCATAAAACCAATTATTCCTTTGAGAAATTATATTTGTTTGCTAATTTTAACTTTCAATTTCTAAACCTATTGTAGTCACAATATGTCATAATATAAAATTGCATTATTTGTTATTAGCAGAGAAAGAGAAGAATCATCTCCCAAAGGTATAACACTTCTTCAATACATGAATTATACTTCACATGATATTTCAAGTATAAAAATAAAAATCAGCATTCTATGAAGGAAGGTTTTACTTATTTTATAGAATTATAGAATTGTAGGGGTTGGAAGGAACCTTAGGGATCATCTAGATCCAACCCCTCTACCGTGGGCAGCAACACTTTTCACTAGATCAGGTTATCTAGAGCCCAATCCAGCCTGGTCATGAAGATTTCCAGGGATGGGGAGTTCACAACCTTTCTGGACAACTTGTTCCAGTGTCTCACCACCCTCACAGTAAAGAATTTTTTCCTAATATCTAATCTAAACATAGATTTTTCAAGCAAAGTTGTCTCAAGTAGGAAAGGTGGAAAGGAGAACACCAAAACACAAAGCTGTTCTTGACATAGATTACACTGAAGAAGAGAGAAGGAAGTTCTCTCTCCTTATGATTTTGAAGTTATGCAAGTAAACAGAAAAGGTTTTTTACCTCACAAAGTTTGAATATATTATTAGAAACTTTAATAATGTGCTTAAACAATTTTATCATGATATACTGTGTGTATATATATGCAATATATGCTTTCACTATAATTCATCCTGAATGCTAAGCCCCTTTTATCATGGTTATTATACAGACTTAAGTCCCCAGTAGTTCTTAATGAATGACTTGCTTCAGAAACACTTTTATTCTACAGCATGAACAAAACTGATTCTATAACTGAAAAGTTGCAACTATCCTTTCTGCACTTTTCTTATTACATGGAGATATTACCACCGGGAAAAAAGCACTTATTTTGTTGAATACATTTCATTTTTATGGTAATTTGGCCTCATACACAACTCAATCTCTCTAGGTTATAGAAGATTTAAAAACGTTTACAGGAGGGATCGAGTGAAAACGTAGCCTGCTAAAGGACCATCACTTTAACTGGTGTCAAGAAAAGCCAGTAATGCTATAACAAATAATGCCAACTGAAGATCTGGCCAAAAATACAGTTGAATATTCATCTTAACAGAGAAGTCACTGAGGTAAAGAAATAATTAAAAGTCAAATATTCTGTGTTTGCTGCACTTTTCTCTAAGTACATGTATGTTATACCACAGGCACAAGTATATTGTTTCATTTGAGATTCCAGCTAAATCAGGATTTTTTTAAAGACCAGTCCATACTTTTAGACTGGACAGCACTGGTTTTTGTTAAGCAAGTTCCCTGGTGGCAATAGCGTTTACTCTCTTTTCTCACATGGCCTGTACAATCAAGATTAGGTCAGCTATAACTAGTCACCGAAATGTAAAATTATTTATGAAATAACAAGGGCAATCAAATAAGCCATTTACAGTAACAAAACTCAATAAATAACCTAAAAATACCACAAAAATATAAATCAACAAGATTCTACCCTTAAGTTGTAGTTCTTCCTTCTGCCCCTCTTCCCTTCCTCTACCTCTGAAACCAAGTTTCTGAACCTACACTGATTAAGAATGAGATATCTGTAACATGATATGTCGGCAGCGATCCTATAGATTCTTGTTAACAAGAAGTCCATCACAAATGTGGTTTCTATTAAGTTTTATTACTTTGAGGATGTCAATTTTGGTACAGGCTTATTTTCCTAATTTTGGGCAAAAACACTACCCATCACATAAAACAGAGGCGGGGAGGTGAAAAAAAAAATAAGAGCGAGCTAAAACAACACTGCTAGAACAATGCTGATGTACATACCTAAATATCCAGCACTAATCTGAAATAGGTTTTTTTACAATGACAAATTGAACAAGACTAGGTACAAGCCCTCTCAAGGGCATGTTATTCTATTCATATTATATAAGGTAACAGAAATAAAAATTATATTGTGTATGACTGTAGAAATTAATACTCTAAATCCAGCGTGGTACATGAGTAATATGTAAGAGTTCTTAATCAAAGAAAAGAGTCTAGAATAGAACTCAGGATCCACTGTCCAAGTAACTTCAGACTTCCCAGAAGATTGCAACTTTCAAACCGGGTCATCGGTTATCATGGTGATACCTGGACGAAGGAGAGGATTGTTCTTCACAATCTGATATGGAAAAGAAAAATAGTTAATATTTAGATTTTTTCTTTTATAATGTACAAAGAAAATTATTGTACCACAGGAACTATTAAGAACTTCAAATGTTATAAACTTCAGTTAAAAATACATAAAAATCACATTAAAACATACTATGATTCTAAAAGATAAACATTTAGCTATTAAGAAATTTCAGAATTTAGGTTGTTATCAAACCTTTTCAGCATTTATGTACATATCTATTAATCTACATTCTGACATTAAGTATTGCATAGTTCTTCATGAATAAGCATGGATCTTGATTTAGTGGCATGGAAATTCAAAGACTTAAAGAGGTTGCTATCAGTCGGATATTCAAGTGAAATTGTACAGGAGACAAGAACTGGAAGGGTTAAGTAGAAAAAGCACTTCTTTAGTCCAAATACTTAAATGCTTCCACAGAGTAGTGGATTCTATCCTTGTCTCTATCACAGATCAACGCACAACCCCCACAACTTTGGAGTCCTTTATTTCATGGTTGGCTGTGTAATTTGAAACATCTGGAAAGTCTGATTTTAGAAAGAAATGACCTCTAAATTAAAAGTGGAAGTTCAGTTAGCAGAAGTTATATACTAAATATTTAAATACCACATAAAAAGTGACTATAAAATAGGTGATGAGGCCTCTCAATTTAAACACTCAAAAATTACTGAGCTCTGTTCCTTAGGTAACCACCCCAAAAATAAAAGTAATTCTTGTATCACCAGCATGTTTTTAAGATAAGATTTCTTACTTACAGTGGTGAAAATTACAGACACGCACATTACACCAGCTTATATATCCTACTACCCGAACTCATCATCCTTATTGCCCTCTCTGCCTACATTCTCCCCTTCACCATATCCTTTTTGGGATTATAATTTTTTTTCCTCAGATTATTTAATTATTAAATTAATTATGAACTCTGAGCCTGCCCTCTAATATCTCCATCTCCTTCTCTGTGCAGCATTGCCAGTAAACCAAATAAGCATTTTCTATTCCATCATCTAGATTTGTAATGACAGATTATGCAGAGCATGAATCCTTGCAGAACTAAAGCTGACAAACCTGGTAAATTTTAGAGGAATTACCAACACAGATCAGGTATAAGTTTTCCTGCCCCTTTTAGCTCCACTTTGGACTGTTATGATCTAGCCTACATGTTCTCAGATCCTGAGAATATCAGAGTAGTTTCTTATTTATGTTAGATGTTCTTATATCTCTTTCATCACCAGCTCTATACATTAAGTTACATGTTATAGCAAGACTTTCTTTTGTCCACAATGCTGGACAATATAATTTACTCTTCTTTAGAGCTAACTGAAACATATTCAGCTAAAGTAACTTGTAACTCAACAGTATGGAGTAGAAGGGAATACTACAAATAAATCAGCCATTTTAAACAAGTCTCAGCTACAGCATGACAAACAGCTTTGATCCAATATCACATTTCCTCATGTGGTATTAAGTCTAGTGTAATCAAAATGCAAATATTTATAAAAATAAAAGAATTCAAGGGCTACAATGCTTCATTTTTCTAGGTCCTCTCATTTGAATTGGCAAATGTTTTGAAAAACTCTACAAACACTGTATCAAGGTTCTTAAACAAATTAGGTGGCTGCACAGAGCAATTCCCAATACAAGATTAAAAATATGTATTTCTCTGCTTCAAAGGCTCACTGTCTGCAGTGTTAAGACAGAATGTTTATGTTTGTCCCACTAAATACGCAAATATCTGCAGGTGAATTTACATAGAAATGCTCAGTGCTTAAGACTGAAGTATATAGCGCTGCTTTACTGCCCATTTTCATTAAAAACTATGACTCTTGGTATCACATACCACCGTACAGAGCAAAAATGTGGTATTAAGAAGAAGTAAAAAAATCTTAGAGATTTTTCAATTAAATCTAGAGGTGTCACTGTTGATGTACGACAGAAATGTACAAGTTAGTGAAGGGGGTTGAATGAAATGGCCTTAAGTGATTTCAAAGCAAGAATAATTTTAAGCATATGAAACTCTCTTCAGGCACTAAAGAGATTTTATCTGGAGCTGGGTGTAGATTTCTATCACTCATATCCAATAAGGATTAATTAAAGTAGAGATGAGACAGATTGGCATCTACAGGGGAATGAAGAGTCTATCTCTCTACGGCAGTTTAAACCAGCTTGGACTGTTTATCATAGCAAAACAGCCTGAAGAGATAGGACTGGGCTCTCCATAAATATCAGAACACTAAATGCCAAAAGTAGAGTTTTTTCCATTAAAGGATAATTTAGACACCCAAGAAGAAATGAATACTAAACAGGAAGAAGTTACGTCAGAAAGTGGAAGCTTGCCTACTAGAACCAGAATGTTCTCAAAGGTGCTTCCAGAAGCAGCAAAAGGAGCAAAAAAACCTGAAATAATTTCTCAAAGGGATGTGAATCAACTCATATGACACACTTTGGTAGCAGATGACTTAAACCAATGATCCAGTCAGTATTTCTAATCAAAACTGAGTCACGTGTTTAAATGGTTTCTTAAAAACCATCTAGGACCTGAGGCCAGATCTTTTGGTGAAAACATACAAGCACATAACTGGTCTACTCTGGCCTCCAATCAGGAGGTCTGGAGACACACCATCTGTAACGCTGCTGCTTCCTTTGAGAACGCACACAGGATCACTCTCAAGGAGAAAAGACAACGCAGAAAGAACCGTGTATTGCAGAATATACCACCTAAGGAGTCCTTCTGCTGTGCCTTTTGCAATCGGACGTGTCTATCTTGTATCGGCCTTATTAGCCACCAGCGTGCTTGTAACAAATGTGGGTAGAGCCCTTCCCAAATCTTCGTTTGTGAAACCTAGCCATGATGATGATGACAACAAGCACATAGCTCTATTAATGTCAAAGGTATACTGAGTCACTCCATGTCAGGGTCTAGTACACAATTTTCAATTATTTAAAACCATTTCAGTTGGAAGCATACACTGATGAAGTGTGTTGATGACAATTTTTTTTATACAGACAACTGACAAGCTAAGTAGGTGCTCTGTTGGACCTGCTTCAGTGAACAAGCAAGAACCAGTTGGGGTTGTGAAAGCTGAGGGACACTTTAGCTGCAATGACCATAACACTGCAGAGTTTAAAATCCCGAGTCACATGAGCAAGATAAATGTTTAAAATTACAATCCTGACCTTCAAGAAAGCAGATCTTGCGTTGTTCAGGGACCTGCCAAGAAAGGACCCAAGGGATACTGCCATGAAAGGCAATAAGGCCCAGAAGAGCTGGCTGATTTTCAAGGACAAATCTATCAAAGCATAAGAATGGTCCTCCCTGACACTCAGGAAAACAAGAAAGTACGGCAGAGGACTGCCAAAGATGGACAATGTAACAGACTACTTGGAAAAAGAGAAGCATTGTCTGTGAGGGCAGAGATGCAGATGTGAGAGCCAAAGATCAGTGGAAGCCAAAAGTAGCTAGAGATATGAAAAGACAAAGGTTTCAGTACCAGCAGCAAAAAAAAAAGACTAAAGAAGAGGTGACACCATTGCTTAACAGGGCAGTGGAACATCATAAATGAAATGGAAAAATCTGAGGTATTAAATGCTGTTGTGCCTCTGTTTTTATTGGTAAGGTTCTTTTCTTAAGCATCTCAGCTCCTTCATCTTAGTAGCAGAGTCTGTGAGAGTAAAGCATTACACCCAACAAATGATGGTCAAATCAGGAACCACTAAAGCTGATTGTGTATATACAAGTCCATCGGCCCAGAGAGGCTGCATCTTGGTTGGCTGATTTCATTGCAAGGCTGCTCTTTGCTGTCTTAAAAAGATTATGGCATATATGGGAGGTCTCAATGACTGGAAAAGGGCCATCTGCAAGGAGAGCAATGAGGAGCCAGACTACCACCTGCCACTCAGCCTTGCCTCTGTTCCAAGGAGGGTTATGGAGTAAGTCCTCTGGGATGTAATTTCTGAGCATATAAAGGACTAAGAGGTGACTGAAAACACATTTGGTAATAATGTGACTGGCTCAGTGGACAAAGGATGAGAGAAATATGATATTTATTTTGATTTTAGCAAAGCCTTTAACAGTGTCCTGTAATATCACTATAGCAACATTAGTGGGACACAGCCTAAATAAGTGGATAAAGTGGATGGAAAATCAGTTAGATTCTCAGACACATTGTGTTCAGATCAGTAATACTAAGTCCACCTGGCAGCCACTTACTATGGTCATGCCCCAAGTACTAAAGGTGGCTCTTTATCCACTCTTTAACATCGTTTAATACTCTTTCACATCTTTAACAAGGAGCACAATGGGATAGAGTGCACACTGCAGCACCATGGATGATAACACATGGTGAGGCACCCAATATGCTGGAGGGCATCTTCAGAGCGTCCTCACCTGACTGGAGAAAAGAGACAATTGAATCCTCTTGAAATTGAACATAGGCAAAAGTAAAGTCCTGCCCATTGAACAGTGTATCTGGCTTTTGAATATCTATAAGGATGAAGACTCCACGGCTTCCTTGGGCAACCTCTGCCAGTGCTCCATAATACTCACAGTGAAAAAGCGGTTCTTGATGTTCAGACAGAACATCCTGTGTTTCAGTTTATGTCCACTGCCTCTGGTCCTGTCACTAGGCACCACTGAAAAGTACCTGGCTCTGTTCTCTCTGTACCCTCCCCTCAAGTATTACTACACATTGATGAGATCCCCTTGAGCCGCCTTTTCTCTAGGCTAAACTGTTCCAGCTCTCTCAGCCTTTCCTTATACGACAGATGCTCCAGTCCCTTCATCATCTTAGTGGCCCTGGGGTTTTTGGCTGCCCCAATACAAGAGAGACAGCACTGATCTACAGAAAAGAGTACAATGGAAGGCCACAGATAATCACGAGACTGAAACTCCTCAATGAACGAGGAGTGACTGAAAGAAAAGTATTTGTTTAGCCATAAGAGAGCTTTACTGTCTTCAGCTAGCTAATGGGGGACACCATGATCTTCCATCCTTGGAGAGTTGTCAGAGCCCTGAGCAACCAGGTTTAGTTGGAAGGCTGGACTAAGTGGCACTGAACAATCCCTTCTAACCTGATATGGGGAAACAGCATCAAATAGTGAGTGTTTTCTATTTTTCTGCGTACCTACCAGAACATGTTTTACCAATTAGTAAGAGAAGTCCTGGTCCAAGCGGTATTTTGTTTAGGTTTGTTCTGCTACACTCTCCAAATTATGGGAAGATAAGAACAGAATAGAGCATCTATCACTCTAAAAACATGACAAAAGAGTATTACACATTATGAAAGAGACTGCCATAAGCACACATATCCTTTTATGGAGAAAGAGAAGAAGAAAATGTTTGCAAGAATACTTGCCTGATTTGTTATCCCAGTATGGAAAAACTGGTCTAACAATACTGCAAAGATTGGGTATATAAACAGATAACCATGAGAAAGAATTGCAGACACTGCAAAAGCTAATTGGCCCTGCATAAGCTACATATGCATTTGTTTTACATATATTACACCACTCTTACCGCGACACAAGTTGGGTTCTCTCCTTTCTTACTGTCATGGATGCTGAACCACACAAAAAGTACGTACTTCCATTAATTAGTTTCTTCCTCAGGAAATAAATGTTGGATAAAGACGAATATGCCAGCTAAATAGACTTCTGCAAGTAGGATTCAGCCAGTCTAACCTATGAAAACTAGTTTGTAAGTGATACATACTGGTAGAGGTCATTACACAGAAGGACGCAGACACCTAACTCCCCATTTATTTTTATGAAATACTGATACTATAGCAACAAGATCTATTGTTATTTGCATTTAATTGCATAGAGTGAGCTAGCTGATTTTCACCTGCAGAGAGAACATGGGAACACAGTGTTACCTGTGAATATAGCTACAATTGGTTTCATGCAGTCTAGGCAGGGAAACTCCAAAAAATAGATCAGAAATTGCTTGGGCAGTAAACTAATACGCACAAAGGAAACAATTGCTGTAATCAACATGAAGTCCTGCAACTGCCTGCCCAGAGGAAGTCTAAGAGGCGTATTGTACACTATATGAAATTCAGTGGGGTTTGATTGCTGACAAAGCAGCACACAACAGTAAAAGCATGTCTAGACTAGCATCATATGTCAAAAAACCACAAATACTTTACTCAGATGTTTAATTCTGAAAAGACTGAGAGATATCTGTAGCAGAGTGTTGTAGGCCACAGACCTCTATGGATGATAGGACTAGATATCTATTAAACATCTGATAAATTTTGTCCTGTGGAGCTTAACAGGCATGTAGTAGTAACTGCTGGCCTGAGAGTCATGCTTTATTCCTGAAGAACAGGATGTGGCAAGTGACATTTCATTATGCACAAACCATGGTATCAGGAAAAAGTTTATTTAAAATTTTAATTACTACAGTAAGTGCAACCAACATAAATTCCACAATATTGGTGAACTCTTTGTGCAATTTCAAAGAAAAAAAAATTCATACAGTGACACTTTATCAGGTAGAAAACACGAATTATGCAGTATCTTTCTGTTTCTCTTTGTGCTTTATATGACTCATAAGGTTGTATATGACAACTTCCTATGACATTGTGAGTCAAATAACTCCAAATTAGGTTTTTATATTGTAATCAACTAAACACATTGATATATCAACTTACAGAAAGTTTTTATTGTTTTAAATGGGAATTCTGGCACTAAGGTTGAACAAAGTTTCTATGAAGCCAGCTGGCTCAGTGAGAAAGTTCAAAGCTAACACTTCTAGAAACATTTTTACAAGTTCAGATTAAAACATTTGTGATGTGCAGTGGGCAGAAAAAATTGTATAGACCAATCAAAGACTCCTCTTTAGAAATTAAGCTCCAGTTCCACATAACTAGTTACCATTCCTGGCAACTACATAAAGCTATGAGATATCAGCACTCAAACTTACCAGATCAGCTCCATTTCTCTTAATCTGGAATCAAGAAAGATTAATTTTATTTAATGGAAGTTTCTCATGTGGACATTGCCACAGACACAGTATATACTGGGATAGGCTACATTGAACATGCAGCTTCTTTCACTCCATTTCGCATTCTACCCACAAATATGTGTTCACTTTCAACCACCAGTCCCCTGACCAGTACCTAGATAACATCTCTTGAAAAAAACGCCTAAAACCAGAAAATCAGAGGTATTTGGTATTAGGTATAACAAACATATGGATACCATTTAGCCATGAAATAATACCTTATTTAAGGTCAGTTCCCTCATAATTATCATAGGAATAGATATATATCAGTGGAAAGACGGTATTTCTGATCTTGCTTTTTTCTTGGCCCTTCAAAGTCCTCAATCTTTAAATCTTAACCATAAAGGTATGTTTTAAGATAACCTTTAAAGTTTATAAGAATAGGTTACTTTTTAATTCCCCCTCTGTCCAGTATTCATAGATGGATTTATGCTTTTTCAGGTTGGGGTAAAAAAGATTACTATTTCTCAATCATGCATTAAAAATTTTATTGTGTGCTTGAATAAGGAAACAAGAACTACAGCAGTGGGAAAGTTCTTCTTCCAAAGTAGGAAAACAAATGTGGCACCCTTCATCTCAACAGTTGTGTTTCTAATTGTTTTGAACAATAATTTCCTACTTGAATTAAAAAAAAAAGTATCAGCAAAACTCCCATTGTATCTGTTTATTTTGTTTCTGGTATAAAATATTTCCTGTGTGAGAACAAATATCTGATGAATTCTCTTCTTAAGAATCACTAGTTAAATTTTTTTATTAAATTCTTGCCACTTATAATTCCCCAAACCCAGTGAAAATAATCATACTGTCTAAGTTTCAGAAAGCATAAATCAAAAGCAATACACAAGACAAAACTTGACTTAAACTTTTAGTATTTGCAATGACATATGGCTAGAAAAAGATCTATGGTGCTTCTACAGGAAGGACAGTTCATAAATTGCCCTTATAGGCTTAACCATGTTTCGAAGAAAAACCCAAAGGAATAGAAAATAAGCATACCATTATACAGCATGGTTTTCTAAAATTCCACTATTTAAAGTACAATACAGTGAAGTAAATTTGTCACTAGTCACTCAGGCTTTGCTCAGAATTAAAGAAAACTTTCAGTCAGGATGTCTTTCCTTGAACCATTGTGGTTTTGAAAATGAGGAAAGAAACATGCAATCTTTGCAGCAGAAAAAATATCTATACTTCATCCTGAATATTAGATATGTGATAGATACTGGAAAGCTGGTATGTGAAAAAATAGTCAGTAAGGAAAAGACTAAGCTAAAAGGTCTAGATTCTTAACCCATGGATACTTGAATCATGAACAAATGCTAGATGGGTTTCTTCAGGAACCTGGAAAATGAATAAAAAAGACTAGCAAAAAAGTCCCTTCTGTGAAACTTACTCAAACTTATTTCAGGGGAAAAAAAATTTACTAATCAAGCATGTACTGTTCAAAATACAGCAGTTACAAATAGTTAAACCAGAAACTTTCCACTTCACTAAAGCAGCAAATAAGCTTCTGTCCACACTCGGAAAACAAGGCAGCAACAATTTAGGACACAAATTTAAAACAAGGTAATCTAAAAATATTCTTGTTTGATGACAAGATAGTGCATGTCTGCAGAAGTCATCAAGTTCTGGACTCTGACAACCCTGATTTCCACTATTTTTGCTTCAAAATTTCTAATTTTAATTTTAATTTATAAAGACCGCCTATGCATAAGCCATTTTTCACCAGAAAAGATCTCACAAAAACAAAAACCACCCAAACCCAAAGACCCTCCCAGCTTTCCTTGTCATAACCATATTACAGCATATTATTGTTCACACTGGATTTTTCCAATGAGCTGTTCACTTGATTTTTGAAGATATTTGCAAATTTCATCCAGATTATCTAAAATATCACTCTGCTGCCCCAAGCATTACTTCTCACACCAGCACAATGCAGTTAGCACTACAAAAAGATTATTCTTCATAAGGTTCATCCTCAGATAACTACAAGAGATAGGAATTGAGATGTTCATAGTGATGTTATGTTGACCAAATCAAGCCATATCCCTTCTCTTCAAGGTTCCTTCAGGACCAAATCAGTTAGATCAAAGTACCATGAAAGAAGACAACAGGGACTCAGCCCAAACTAACACACCACGCTACCTGTTCACGTTGGCATCGCCACTCGAACAAAATTTCTATGAAGGCTGTCTAAATTCTGCCTTCTGCTAAGAGAAAGAAGCATGGCTTGTACACAGCTTTAGTCCAGAACTGTATGCAAAGAGTATGCAGTTGCATACAACTTCAAGTGATAACAATTTCCAACATATTTATTAAATTTTCAACACGGTATTTTGGTCATTACCTTCTTTCCCTCATCATCCTTGACTGTCTTATATACCTACCTATCCAGGCATTTTCTCCTGCCCTTAGACATTTATTCAATTGGCAACATCTTAGGAAAACAAAAAATGCCAACAGGAAAGTCATTGAACGGATGGGTACCTAGTCTGCTTCGTTTTCAATATGCTTTCCAATACCTTCTTTTCCCTCTAAATTTTTGTGCTGTTGAGAAAGAAGACTCTTTAAAAATGGGAATTCTTTCTGAAGAGCATCGGGATCACTCTGACGAGCCCCTCATCGAGCTGCAGCCATATTCAACTGCATCCTCATTGGCAGCTTTGTCGGGAACCTACTGAGCAGGACGGTGAGGAGAAAGAATGAAAATTCATTCTGATGTACTATAACTAGCTTAGTCCTCTGATTGCTGTTTGCTCAACACAATAGAAAGTCCTAAATCCCTGGTAAATCGTAACTGTTGCTTTTGGCAGGTTTCTAAACAGAAGAGGAAAAAAAGGGGACGACGACGATTAGTTTACTTCTGTTCCCTTCCCCCTCCCCGATGCGCAACTTTCTCTGTAACCCATGTGGCTGGGAGGCAGCCACAGCCGGTTCCAATTCCTTCTTTCCCACTTTGCGCCCCTGCTCGCTGCCGGGGCTGAACCGAGCCAGGACTGGCCGCGGGCTTCCTCCCTCCGCCCCCCCGCCGCGCCGTCCTCCCTCTCCGCCGCTCCATCCGATCCTCCGGTCCCCCAGGGCACAGTGTGGGAAGTACGAATTTCCGCTGAGTTTTCTCGGCAACTTTCGGAGCTCGTCTTTCTCCCTCTCCCCGCTCCGCCCGCCGCCCCCCTCCGTCTCCTCCCCGCCCGCCCCCTCCACCCTGGGAGTGCCGGCGGAGCAGCCACTCCGCTCCGCATCCCGCCCGCCCCCCGCGGCAGCGCCGGCCCCGCCACCGCCGACCCGCACCCGCGGGCCGCCAGGGGCGGCAGAGCCCGGGCGGGGCAGCGCTCCCGGCCGCCGCGGGCCAGCCCATGGTGCCGGACACCGCGACCTGCAGCCGCCGCCGCGCCTGCCTGCCCGGCGCGGAGCTCAGCCCGGCGCGGAGCAGAGGAGGGGCCCGTTAGCAGTCGCGGAGGAGGCGGAGGGGATGCCGGATAGACACAAAGCCGGCGGGGGAAGCAGCCCACGTCTCGTCCCGGGATGGGGGTGCCGCGCCGGGTCCGCCTGATGGTGCTGCCGCAGGTACTCTGGGGCTCCGTCACCCTCATCCTCCTGCTGCTGCCCGCGGCCGAGCCCATCTGTCCCGAGCCATGCGATTGCCAGCAGCACCAGCACCTCCTCTGCACCAACCGGGGCCTGCGCTCCGTGCCCAAGGCTGCCGAGCCGAAGGATATCCTCACCTACAGCCTCGGGGGCAACTTCATTGTCAACATCTCTGCCTTCGACTTCCACCGCCTGGCAGGGCTCCAGCGCCTGGACCTGCAGTACAACCGGATCCGCTCACTGCACCCCAAGGCCTTTGAGCGCCTGGACCGGCTGGAGGAGCTTTATCTGGGCAACAACCTGCTGCCTGCGCTGGCCCCTGGCACACTCAGCGCCTTGGCCAAGCTGCGCATCCTCTACGTGAATGCCAACGAGATCGGCCGCCTCAGCGCTGCCTCCTTCTCCGGCCTCAGCAGTCTTGTCAAGCTGCGACTGGATGGCAATGAGCTGGGCTCGCTAGGCGACTCTACTTTCTCAGGGCTGCCAAACTTACTCTACCTGCACCTGGAGTCCAACCGCATCCGCTGGCTGAGCCGTGGTGCCTTCACTGGACTGACCAAGTTGCGCTTTCTCGACCTCTCGGGGAACCAGCAGAGCTCCCTTCGCCACCCAGACATCTTTGGACCGCTGCGCTCCCTCCACACCCTGCTGCTGGCCAGCAACAGCCTGCGGCAGCTGACAGGAGGGCTCTTCCAGTACCTGCCTGGCTTGGCGAAGCTCTCACTCAGTGGCAACCGACTATCTCACCTGGCCCCGGATGCCTTCACAGGGCTGGGCTCACTGAAGGAGCTGCGCCTGGAGGGGAACCTGCTAAGCCACCTGCCTGTTTCCCTGCTGGAGCCGCTGGGCAACCTAGAGGCGCTGGATCTGAGCCGCAATGCACTGACCACCCTTCATCCAGCTGCCTTCAGCCACCTTGGCCGCTTGCGGGAGCTCAGCCTTCGGGACAATGCGCTGGCGACGCTCCCTGGCGAGCTCTTTGCCTCCAGCCTGGCCCTCTACCGCCTGGAGCTGGAGGGGAATGCCTGGAGCTGTGACTGCCGCCTTCGCGGCCTCAAGCACTGGCTGGCGGCCTGGCACTCCCAGGGCCGCCTGCTCACCGTCTTCGTGCAGTGCCGCCTGCCGTCCACCCTGGCTGGCAAGTACCTTGACTACCTGCAGGATGCCCAGCTGCTGCCACCGCAGGATGGTGGCTCCTGCCCCGATGGCGACTCTCCCTCCCTGCCATCTCCTGAGGGGCTCGGCGGCAACAGCAGCGCTGTGGGACTGCCCCCAGGGCCGCTGCCAGCCGCCTCCACTGCCCGCCTAATGGGCGCACCCATTGCTGCCAGCCCCACGCCGCCACCACTGCCCAGCGCGGCGTGGCCCCGTCGGGCCAGTGCCGCTGGGGTCCCGCCGCTGGTGTCCGACCCATGCGACTTCAACAAGCTGTTCCTCCACAACCTGTCGGTGGAGGCCGTTGGCTCCAGCTGGGTGACAGTGCGCTGGGCCGTGCGGCCACACCGCAGCCCCCGCCTGCTTGGGCCGGCACGATTCCGCCTCCTCTTTGACCGCTTCGGCACCGCTGTCAAGTTCCAGCGCTTTGTGTACCTGCCAGAGCAGGGGGAGCCGGCGGCCACACTGCAGGAGCTCCACCCGGACACCCCCTACCTTGTCTGTGTCGAGGGCATCCTGGGTGGCCGCGTGTGCCCGGTGGCACCGCGGGACCACTGCGCCGGGCTGGTCACCCTGCCCGAGGGCAGCTCCGCGGCGGCGGCAGGTGGGCCCCGCGGCCCTGACCAACAGCTGCTCACGCTGGTGCTGCTGGCGGTGAACGCGCTGCTGCTGCTGACGGCTTTGGCCGCCTGGGCCGCCCGCCTGCTGCGCAAGAAGGTGCTGGGGCGTCGGCGTCGGAAGGCAGCCCCCGTCCACGTGAGGCAGCTTTACTCCACACGCCGCCCACTCCGCTCCATGGGCACCGGCGTCTCTGCCGACTTCTCGGGCTTCCAGTCCCACCGGCCGCCCCGTGGCGCTGCCGCCTGTGCCCTCAGCGAGGCCGACCTCATCGAATTCCCCTGCGAGCGCTTCATGGACAGCGGGGGCAGCCGGCATGGTGATGAACACTTGCTGCAGCGCTTCACCGACTGAACCCGCCGAGGCCCCGAGGCCGGCCGGGAGCTGCGGTCGGCGCTGCGAGGGAAGGTGGATGTCGGTCTCTGAGGGGAGGGTGCGGGCCCCGGGGTCGTGGCCTCCGAGGGGCAGAGCTGCAGCGCCAGTGGCTGTGTTCAGCTGCCCCTACTGCAGACCGGGGCTGAGGTGGCCTGTGAGATGGGGTTGCCTCTGCTGGAATGTCACTGTTTTTTCAGGAATCATCACTAACCCAAGGAAAAGCCCTGACAGGCGGTAACTGTGCCTTGCCACAAGGAGCAAAGCGGCAGGAGCTACTGCCAACAGCAACCAGTGCCTCCCTTAAGCAAATTCAGAGCCGTTAATTTGTGTGCTATTTTACAGGTGGTTTTCTCCAACTGCAGTTGGGAACACGTTACAATGAGCAGCCTGGCCCTGTGTGAGAAAGCTTTGACCAGGTCTTTCCAAGGCACCAGCTCTTCCTAACAAAAATTTGGACCAGTCTTTTAATTGAACTGTGTGCAACCAGAGAGTCACTGGAGGACTGGAAATTATTTTTTCACTGGACAGTTTGAAGGCTGTGCCATTTCAACTCAAACCGAATGTGAGGCTATTTAATGTGCACAAGTGGGTTTTCTTTTTTTTTTTTGTAAACGAGAAACAATAATGCAGCTAGTTAGTTCTACGGGAATATATTGCTGACACCACTAAGAAAAACTAACATATTTTTGTAATGTGTTTACAAATGAGCTATTTTTAAATTGTTTTTGAATAAATACTGCTTGGTACTTGTGCTGTAGTTGTCTGGGTCCATGATGGTCAGTAGACCACTGACCCTCACATAATCCATCTTCATTTCTAAATGGGCAGATGCAGAGGTGAACTGTTGATGGATAAATAATAATTGGTGCCTTTCTTCAGAAACAGTAATAGGTGAGAATATTTCAGGAACATGAGACGATCTTCATCATAACAGGCTGTTCTCTCTTAGCCTACTGAAGTTAGAAGCTTTATGTACCTCACTGTGAAATAAACGTTTTTGTATATTAATCTAGATTCTGTATTTTGTGTAGCTGAGGGAGAAATACTGAAGTTAAACTCTTATGCAGTAGTATATTATGTTTGAGTTGTTTTGGTTTGTTGGTTGTTGTGGGTTTTTTAAATTAGAATTTAGCTTTTGGTTTCAGAACAGTGCTAATCATTTTATGGTCAGTTGCTCTCTACTTCTCAGACTTTCCTAAATATTTACAGAATGTGGTTCTGTTACTAGGAAATATGGTGGTTTAGTTTACATTAATAATTCTCTCTGTGTGGTCTAGAAATGAGCTAGTTAAAGAAGTCCAAACCAGAGTTGCAATTTAAATGCAAATGTTTTAGATGGAATTTGGTAAATTGTTGAGACCATTGATACTGCTTCTGCTCCTTTGAATTTAATGTGCAACCTCAGATGAACTCTTGTGGAACTGAATGGCTTGAAGGAAGTGTTAGTGTACTATGGAGACATTTTGTCTCAATATGATGCATTCATTGCTGACCCGAGGTGTTCGTGACTACAAGTTGTTTATTACCATAATTGCAAGTAAGCAATTTGGGGTTTTTTCTTTTTTTTTCCCCCCCTTTTTTTTTTTTCAGCTGAACAAGTGTTTACAAAAGATACCATAGTAACTGGTACCTTCAATTGGAGTTCAGTGACAGAATGGAGAGAAAACACTTTATATTCTGAGGGAGAGAGATCATTTGCCTTAATCTTTGTCCTTTAAATAGAGAAAAAAAAAATCAAAGTCTTGTTTCTTGGGTCAGTAGCAAGAAGTCCTTCGAGACTTCATTTTGACAGGCTGTAGTTTTCAGGAATATCAGGGACCAAACAGTTGTCAGTGTATAGATTAAAATTCATCACTGCTATAGACACAATGTTGAATGGAATTAAAACTGAAGGAATGTGGGATCAGGTTTCATTTTCTTTTGTTAAGAATATTAAATTTCCGTTCTTTTGTACGTCTGGATGTTTTTAGCCATTTATGACTGTGGAGTACACCACTGTTTGTTGTTAGAAATGCAGTGGGATTGTTGAGTAAAGCTGTGTATCACACTAACGTTAGCTCTATCACTGGATATTCTTCCAATGGGAGATGCATAGATGCTGTACATGGTTATAATCAATTATGTCAATAAATCCATTTGCTGAAAGAAAACTGGTGTCTTAGATTGTATCTCATAATTCATCCCTCTTCAATCAGCTACTGGCTGTAGCTTCTTCATATTACGAGCACTGCTGTTGGATAAGCATGAGGACTGTGAACAGTGCCTCATCAGTCTGTCATATCTTTTCATCATACATTATGTTTTCTATTTTATTTGTAATATGTTTGGATAGTGCAAACAGCAAATTAATTAAAATGGATGGTTCTGAAACAGGTATATCACTGTCCCAGTACAGAC